AAATATCGAAAAATATACAGCGCGCGAATTTTAAATGAGAATTTCCGAAAGCTTTTCGGTCACAATGTATATTTATGTTTGATGGTGTATAGGTATAACTCATTAAGTAAAATGCAAAATCAATTTAAATATTAATATAATTAATGTTTTAATAAGAAATATAAGTTTCTCTTTTCCATAACAAAGCCTTGTGCTAAAACATTTATTATAATAAACAACAAAATGTAAAGACTAAGTTGTTTTAATTAAATTAAGTAGTTTACGTGCGTGTTAACAACTGCATTCATTACAACATAAATTATATTACAATAAATTAAGTTTATATTCTATTAATTTATATTTAAATAGTTCTTTTCATTTTAATAATATATTTCGATCATTATGTTAACAAAAAAATTAAAATAAATATTTACTTTTGCGTTTTGTTCTATTCTAGATTTTGACGGACTTGGTTCAAGGTGAATTCATGCAACTTGGCTCAAAAGAAACTGAAAATGAACGATTTGCCCATTACCTTACAAAAACGTACCGGAAGACGGCTTCATTGATTGCGAACGCACTCAAAGCGGTAAGTACTTGTTTTGAGTAAATGCACGGATAATGCGTGCATTTTGATGGCAAAGTACTGCAATTTATGTCATTGAAATGCAATGATGCATAAAAAAATAAGCAATTTTTTCATAAAATGTTAATCTTCCCTCTTCTTCTGTACGTACAGACAGCGGTCATAGCTGAAGCTGATGATAATGTTGTAGAATTAGCGTTCCAATATGGCAGAAATATTGGTTTAGCATTTCAATTGGTAGACGATATGCTGGACTTTGTCTCATCCGCAGAGACTATGGGTAAACCTACAGCAGCTGATCTGAAATTGGGGCTTGCAACGGCGCCAGTCTTATTTGCATGCGAAAAGGTAAGTGTTTCATATAACAAGTGCATGACCAAAATACATGCATTAGTGGCTTCACATAATTGCATTCCCATGCACTTTGCATATACGTGAAATTATTTGTGTCATTTTATTTAGCATTTTTATTGCAATTACTACATTTATCATTTTGTTAAAAAAATTATATATAAAAAAAAAGTTGCTGGGTTTTTTTTTGCGTATTATTTTATGTATATAATTCATTAGGTTTTCCAATTCGATATGTTACGCATTGTTTATATTATTGCTGTCATTATTTCCATTTCCTTATGCGTCTCCAGCATATATTTACTATTTTTATTATTATTTTAAATAAAACTAATATTCGTTTAAAACCCACAAACGTACTTAGGCAATATAAACAATAAAAGACCAAAGGAGTGTTTATATGCATAGGCAATGAGCACTTAAGTTTTATGCGAGCAATTTAATAATTTTGTCAATTTTTTTGTTAAATGTTAACATTAGTATTATTTATTTATTTTTTGTATTCTAAGTAAATCTATTTTTTTCTTTGAATAAATATCTTAAGACATTAATATTAGTATAACATTTGTAAGTCGGAAATCTCTTAAGTTTTGTTAAGAACTGACAAATTTTATTTTATTCTCAAAATGATTTGCTAATTAGGCACAGACACGTGTAATCCATTTCCATGATAATTCGTACTCGTCATGTAATTTGAAGGTTTTTTAGAAAACCCCTAACAGAATATTAATACAATTTTTTGTGATTATATTACATCTATTATCTATGGATATGCCAAATGTAACATCCCAGTAAAAATATTCTTTTTGTTTTAATTCTGAAAAGGGTAGTCTAATACATGATGTGGTAATACTTTTAAGTAAAACTCACTGATCATGATAGATATTATAAGAACACTATATAACACTTATATAGTCAATCCAATATTTTTTAATTATTAACAGTTAAAATCATTTTAATTACTACGAAATATTCCGATTTGCGAGCTTTCACTTTAATGTCCATGCAGTGTGGGCTCAGAGGAGACTCTATCCTAGAAAACATTAAATCCTAAAAAGTCATACAATGGTTTATCTCTAAATTGCTTCATAATATTTGTTGTGTATCAGAAGTAGATAGGTTGCTTCAATATGGTCGATCCTAGAAATATGTGCATAATAGTTGGGACAATTTTTTAGCAAGACATGAGGTATTGATGTATAAAAATGAAATGAGAAAAATGCTATAAAAACATTGTGAAATAAATGGTGGTAAAAAAAAACATGTACTCATACAATTTACTATATATTAAATATGGTTTGTCTAAATAACTAAAGTTATATATTGGAAGTAGGTAGCCCACATCAGAAAATCTATAGCAAGATAATAAGTTATTGATTTATAAACATCAGATCAGATAAATACTATAAGTATTTTAAACTAAATGGAGTTTTTCGAAAATGTTTGAAAATTTTTCAAACATAATTAATCTTCAAGTCTCTGATTAATTTCTGAACTCTTGATTAAGATTTTGGGCATAAATTGCGAATCTCATAAACCTCTAACCATACTCATATAGTTGAGTACATGAACTATCATTTATTTAATGATATTTAATGGATATTTAAATGATAATTAATGGATATTTAAATGATATTTAACAATATTTGTGACTTCAGCTATATAAATGAAGTAAGATTTATTTTATATCTGCATCAATACTAGGCATATTTCTCTTTGTCGTTTTTTTCCTCACGAAACGTATAAGTGCCATTGCATTAAATTTATAATATTGTAGGTACAAGATTAATCTACAGGGCCCTGTCAAAATATCTACATAGAATATTTATGTTTATATGGTTTGTTTTTTTTTTTATTGTGTTAAGTCACATATTATTGAACTAGTTTTGGTCAGTGTGTTAACACTAGTATATTGTCCCAGTTTAGACCTCTCTGTTTCTCTTCTTCTTTCGGCACGAAGGGATCAAAAATTACCATTATATCTAAGCTACATAATAGATCTACAAGCAACGAAATTGTTTCTTCTCTTGCAATCTTAATGGAAACTCCAACGTAATCCGCAACTCATAGGACTCATATCTCACTTTTTTAGTGATAGATATTCAGCTTATCAAGACAGTCCATCATTCAGCTGATGTCACCTGATGACAATTGAGTGCATTGATTGCTGTCTGACTATCAATTAGTATAACATTTCTATGGTTCTTATACTTACTTTTAATAACAAATTGTAAAATTGTGATTGCACTTTGTCTAGATACGGTACTTTCGGTATTTAATAAAACTTATTATGGTATGTCATATGTCATAAATATGTCATAAATACATAAGGAAGTACATCCAAAGCAGTTACTATTTATTTTTATGAAACATCATCATAAATACTGCAAATTAAATGTATAAAATTTCAAGAAGCAATAAAAATTATATTAATTGGTTTAAAAAATTATTATAGCACTTAAATACTGTTGCTTTCGGTTTACATCAGACAACTCGGAATTTGACATTAATATCGAAGACAAAAAATAATTTCGTTTTTTCAATTAATTTATTTTAATTATCATGCAAGGTATGTTATTATTTGTATGCACGTGTCGAGCATTACTTATTAGTCAACTAATGTGGCAATGTGGCTACTGTTGCCACTGTTATAAACTGCTTGAAGAAAGCACAGTAGCAGAATAGGTTCAAAAAAACAAAGTAAAGAAAATGGAGAAAAAAGTGTTAAATGCGTCAATAGTTGGCAGTTCGACAGGTGCGGCAAAAAAGGTAGGCAGATACTCGCTTGTATATCAATGAGAATTGCGTCATGTTGCACTAAAATACTGAACTTACCATTTACGAACTACTTATAATTTATACCTAACATTGTAATGGCCTATATATGGGCGCCCTTATCAATATAGTTAGTACTTTCGTTTTTAATTACAAATATGATTGACAGATGGCGTTCGAAGCGCCATTTCAGCAATTTTGTATCCACTTCTTTTCAGTTTTATTCCATATTTGTTTTGAATCTTAATTTTATTTTACTTTATTTTTATATTATTTTTTATTTTTATATTTTTGCTTATTTTTATTTTCCATATTATTATTGTATTCAATTTTTGTTAACTTGTGTTTTAATAAATTTTATTTTAATAAAAAGTTCTATAATTAGAATTTATAACTATAAAAAATATTAACATACTATGATGACTATAAAAATGTTCTGTATATTTTTTAAGTGTTATATTCTATATTTATAGAATTAAATTACTAGTTACCTAGAAATGTCAAGCAAATTATTATTATTGTGGAAATTTGGCTTAACACATTCTTAGCTCTGTGAGTTTTATTTATTGGTGCTACATTGAGTTGGTAGCAATAAAAATAGCTATTTTGTGATTCCGATCTTATTATGAATAAAATAACTTTCTCAAGAAGCACTTTATTTGAATAAATTATTTATCTACAACTTTCTGATGTGACTTATATTATTCCAATATTCTTGTAAACGATTAAACTTCTATGGGATTAGTGAACTGCACTTGTCGTAGACAAATGGCTTCGGGGCATTTCATGAACAGGCCGTAATCCAGTACTATCGGCGATGCAGTATCACAATTTCCAAAAGGTGTTATACTAGCAGATTTTTCCGGGTTACCACAACATTACCATAACATTACCTTAATGAAGAAAATGTTCTAACAAACTACAATTCATCTGAAAAACACTTTGCGAAATATTTCTGCGAATTATGAAACTCTAATGGGAATGGTTCGCAGCACTTGGTACTGATAGAAGAGCAACTTCTTAAACCAGTTGCTCTTCGCTGTTACAATTCTTATTATTAGATAGGTTTCGAACAAAAGTGAACTATAACAACAAAAGTTTTTTTTATTATTTTAATTAAAAAAATTTTTGGCTAGCCATTTTACTGCTCAAAACCTCTCTATTAAATATAATAGTAATTATTAAGTAAAATAGTCACTACAATTTGATTTATATTTTTAAAATAATGTTTTATCCTTTTTGTTTTATTTAACAATTTAAATCAAAGTAAAAGTATTAATATTAAATTTTTAAATATTTTTTTAGTATCCTGAACTTAATCCCATGATTATGAGACGGTTTAGTGAACCTGGTGACGTTGAGCGTGCCTTCGAATTAGTACACAAATCACATGGATTAGAACAGACGCGATTCTTGGCCAAAAAACATTGCATCGAAGCGATACGATTAGCGCAGGAATTAACTGAGTCACCTTACCAGAAGGGTTTACAAGTAGTGGCCGATTTAGTCATTAATCGTATGAAATAAAATATGTACAATATATATGTAAATATATATATATATGCAGAATACAAAAATAAAAATCATGAACACAATAAAAATAATAATAGCAACTCAAAATTTACTAACAAAGAAAGACAAAAATAATGTAGTTTTATATTAGTTTTTTATTTATTCACTTATAAATATAAGTGAAATGCTTAAATTATTAATTTTTTTACACAATAAAAAAATGCAAAAATTAAAGCAACACAAATGTAAAGAAGGGAAATGTAACAAAAATTTATATAGATATATATATATATATATATATACATATAGCATGTAAAAAATATTTATATATATTTTATTAAAATCAAAAATTATATAAAATTTTGGTAAACATATGAAAAAAATACATTTTGTTAAATCACCTAAATTTAAGTTAAGTTTAAAATTGTATATAATTTATGTAAATGGAAGATATGAAAAATAATTTTATAAGAATATATAATAAAAAAACCCAAAATAATTTATAAATGTAACGTAATAATTAATTTATAAATAATATTATATTTATAAAAAATTATTTAATATAAAAAAAATACACAATGAAAAACAAAAATATTATGTAAAAATTGTACATAATTATAAATTCTATTGATATTTAATGTGGCAATTTTAAAAGAGAAATTAACGTAATTTGTAACATTTTTTTAAAATAAAATTTTGATGCGAATATTTGCATATAATTAAGCTAATTAAATTAAAAATTTATTAAACAAATAATGTTAATTGTAAATTAAGCATATTGATTGTACTCGATATTGAAATACTTTAATTCGCATTGTTATTATTTTCTAAAAATTGTGTTCACTTAGTCAAAGTTTACAATTTAATTGTATGTTAAAATTATTAATATATATATATAAAAAAAATGTTTTTTAAATTAGTACAATACAAATATAAATAATTTTTTAAAAATGTTGTTTTATAAAGATTTATACAATTTAAATATTAATAATGTTTACAATTTTGTAACTGCAAAATATTTTTTGTTTTTGGTTTATAATGATGTTGATATTTTTAATGATATACAATGGTAAACGATAATTAAATAAAAACTTAATTTAAGTAAAAAACAAAAAAAAAAAACAAGAATTGCTATATTTTTTTTTAAATTAATAGTCAATAGTTTATTGCCAATAAAATTTTATAATTGCAAAAGTCAGATTTAAGAAAAAATATTTTTATTTGCGTGGCAATTAATATTAATTAAAATGATGCTATATTGATATTTGCCTTTAGTTTTAGTTTTATACAAAAGAAAAGTAGTTATCCTTTTAGCACATTAGTCCGCAATGTAAAATAGTTATCCTTTTAGCACATAAGTATACAAAGCAGAGGAGTAGTTCAACCATAAATATGGGCAACTGCTGCAATGCAATAAATGCTTGCATTGTACGAGTATTTCGTATTTCACAAGGACAATGTTTGAGAGCAGCTGCTATAGGGAAATACTTCTATGATAACACACACACAGATACTCAGTGTGTACTCAGAGTATCTGTATCTGTGTTTAAACAGAACGATAAAAGTGAAGCAAAATTAAAAACAAATAATCTGCAGTGTTAGATAGAGGAAAAAAAAGTGAAATATCGGTTCAGAGTGCAATACTAAATGAATCAAATGGGTTTAGAGTTTGTTTGCTTGGCTATTTGCAATGCATGTGCTGCGTAGTAGCCTTAAGGCAGAACATAATAACAATTAAACAATTTCAATTGAACTTTATGAATGGCTTTAGTATTTACTGGAAAATAGAGAAACGCATTTGTTTAAAATATTTAAATTTAAAAAAAGCAAGTGTACCTATTAGTAGAGCAACAAAAGAAAAAAATCTTATAAAAAATTTTAAACTAATTTTCCTTATTAGTTTAAAAATGCTATTGTAAGCAGGTATGTAAATAAATTTCCAAGTATGTCAAGTTTTTCTAATTCCATATATCTTGCAATTTCGAGGAGTGGACTGAGTGTTTTGAAACTAACTTGAGACATTGATAAATGCTAGTAATTGACTGATATCCATATAGAAGATGGTCTGGAATGAGATCTATGCTTAATACTAGATCTGGATAAACCTGAAAAGTGCTACAACTGAAGTTCTAATGTCTCTTCTCCGAACGACCGATATATAATGTGAACTCGATATAATGTTCTGGTTAGAAGAGTGTTTAGTTCGATACCCACTGGTAGAAAACGTGTTACTATATGTCTGAATGACCAAGGGACTAATGAAATGACGGCATTTGGTATTATTAACTAGCGACAGTACGACAATGATTGAACTGGCTGGAATGAGCTACTGGACCTCGGATTAGAATAGGTCAGATCTATGAGTTATTCTACATCGAAATAAGTAAGTAACTTGTTAAGTTATTTTCTTTCTAATAAAGCAATGGCGCTATAAATATTTTACTCTACAACAAAAAAAAAATTTTACAAAAAATAATAGTGTTTAAATTTGGAAACTTGATAATATGAAATTTTTAAGTATATTTATATAAATTATAGAATTTTTATAGAAATAGAATAGTCATATTAATGATCATAAATATTTGCAATCACAAAAAATACTCTTCATAATAATATACTTTTGAACCATATTTTTTCTAAGCTCAAATCTACAAAAGTTTTATATAGTAGCTATTATAGTTATATTATAATTTGGGTGATAAATTGACATTGGTTTTTATTTAATAGAAAGATAAAAGTTTAAACTTGATTCAACCACAGTTTCGTATAGTAGCTAATATATCGCTGGAGCATTGAGTAAGAAATTGGTACAGGTCATTATTCAGTAGGAAGATATACGCTGAAACTCGTCTCTACAAAAGTTTTGTGTAATATACGTAACTGTTCGGAAGATGGAACATTAAGTGATAAATCTCCTCTCAAGTTAATAGAATATTTGTTAAACTAGAAGGTTTCTGATTTAACTAAATGGTAGAACTAAGTACATTATTATTAAAAACATGAAGATGGGACTATGAATTTTTGATAACTTTTTTCTTGACGTGTTTGTTAGCATTTTCCATATAAAGAATTTTCTTGATCAATTTCTTGAATTATTTTTTAAAAATATATTCTTAAGATTGATATTCCTTTTCTAAAATGTGCAATCGATTTTTTTAAGGTAAATAATGTTTGTCACCTTTATAAAAGCTAGAAGGAAATAAAAAAGTAGCTTAGTTAAGAAAAGAAGGAAATACTTACGTATATGATTCTATACTTTAAAGCGAAGCATTGAACTTTTAGAATTGAAGGATTAATAAGCAGAAGTTCTTAGAATACATTTAGCATACTTTTTAAAGTTTTCGTGTGATATTAGAATTCATAGACTTCTCAAGGACTAAGTCTCATGCTAAACGCTTCTAAGTATATTGCTTTTAAAAATTGCTGTTAATAGTTCATAAACAACAATTCTTAGAAATCGTTTGGGGTGCTTTAAAATTTTTTCTTTTCTGAACGCCTAACTGAACATCCCAGTGAAAGTTACTGCAAAGAGTATCTATCATCGAATGCAGTACTTAATCTTTGTAACGATTTTTTTAATAGTACAATAAAAGCTAAAAATGTCAAAACATGTCTTATAAATGGACAGCATTCTTAACGGTCGTATATTATTAGTTCGCAATTTGAATTTCTTAAATTAATTACATGTTCTTAACCCGTCAAGACTACTAGATCCAAAATCGTTTAAGCTTATGTCCTGGTGCCAGTGGTTCATTCAGACGTCGGTCACTCTCACATGAGGAACAAAACGAACAGGATTCTTTAGGCATCCAGAATAATAACAGTTGGTTCTATTACATGTTCTTAACCCGTCAAGACTACTAGATTCGAAATTGTTTAAGCTTATGTCCTGGTGCCAGTGGTTCATTCAGACGTCGGTCACTCTCACATGAGGAACAAAACGAACAGAATTCTTCAGGCATCCAGAATAATAACAGTTGGTTCTATTGGTGTATTAAGTGTGTAACTTATCTGAAATTCTATATCTATATATATAATTCTATATATAAAATTATCTGAAAACTATAACTTATCTGAAATTTTAATCTTACCATATTCTTAGTAATAAAATATCATTTTTTTATATTGCAAAAGTTCGAAATATTTTTAAAGAATAAATTTTATTTCATAAGTTAAATTTGGTAGGCTTATCTGACGCTAATTAATGACTTTTTAACAAATTTTATAGAATTGCACTCATTTTCAATACTATTACACTTTTGATGATCCTGATTAAAAGGATTAAAGCTTGTTCGCTTGCAAAATCATTTTAGCGCATAAGCCGTGTAATTTTACCTTGTAATGAAATACCTTTTGCCATCGGGGCCCTTGTTGACATTAGATGAATATGCAAACAGTTCCGAACAAAAATGAATTCCGTGACTGGAAGCGTGAAAAACGCTTCGTTGCTCCAATTTAGGTATGCAAAACTCTAAAAACGCAAGTGCATGAATGCAGCATTTGTGTGTTGCAGTTTATGCACTTAAACAATATTTGCATTCATTAAACTGAGTTGAGTTAGAACAAACAAACATAAATGCATTCGTGCCGTTTATCAGCACTCGTACGTATGCATGCCTAGTGAGATTTGTATTGATTTTTAAATTGACAAGCGAATTGTTTATCCTGTCAGAGGACATACGATATGTTGATGCGTTATGTGCCAATGAATACTAATGTTTCGAAACAGCTGTTGTAGAGATGTTGTAGTGACTAAATTATAGTCAAGGTTGACTTACTTCTTAAGAATATATTCCTTTAAAATATTTAAATTAATTATTATAAATTAATTTAACATATTAAGTTAATTTAATTTAAAGAGATACTAAAGTTTGGAACATATATATACATTTTGAGTATATTCAAAAAAAGTATATAGCAACAATAGTTCAAGCGTATTAAAGTATAAAATGTGTTTACAATAATAAGCTGACCTATAATCTAGTCTTACCATTTTTAAAAAAAATTTAGAGGTATTAGAAATAAAATGCTATAAAATACAATTATAATTCTCATTTGCTTCAC